ACACACACACACACACACACACACACACACACACACACATACAGACATACACATACACGTATATCATTATATCAATTATCAATATGTATTAAATAATTTACCTCAGTTGAATTAAACGCACAACAGCAGTTTAAGAAAAGGATGATGACAATAACAAAGATTTAAGATAATGATGATAAAAAGAGTAATAACGATTTATGAAAATGATGATAATGAATAACGATGATTTAACATAATGATGATGACGATGATTGGTAATGACATTTTTCAACAGCCTTCATGTAAATTTATATCTATGTCATTCAACACTGCAAACATACTTCCCAAAAAAAATTAAGCTCTAGGCTTAATTAGAATATTCGTGTTATTAAACCGAAAGAAAAATTAAGAGTCAATATAGAATATTATTGAAATGAGCGTACTTAGTATTAGTCAGTATAATAAATGATGAGCGCATTTGGTCAGGACAAAGTTCTATTAATATATAATTAATAACCTCAAGTACAAAGAAAAAAAGAATGCAAATTCTTGACAGTAAAGAAAGCATCGAAAACAAACCTTAACGCATTTTCCAGCGCAAAAATTTATTTTCAGGAAAATATTTTACTGACCACAAGCGTTGAAAGGTGATGGATGTGTGTTAGACATAACGATTTCAGATTTTTAAATCAATCAAAACACATTTCATTGATTTTTCTTCTCACGCACTATTACACTGTCCCTAAGATCTCTTTAAAACCACCCCCATCAGATTTAATCACATGAAATTGTCGAGATATGCTAACTGCATATTTGTTAGAATTCTTTGTTCTAATTCCAATGAAAATCAGATAAAAACGATGCCAACATTTGAACACAGATGATTATGAACAAGCTAATCCCAAAATCCGATTAAGTAGGTCAGATCGTTCAGCACATTTTGTTGGATTCATTGGGAAATGGATGAACCTGGAAGTATCAAATCTTTGCCCAAAAGAATCCACGACTCACATATTGTTCTAGTAACCAGTTATGTACACCATACCCACTTTTACCCAGATTACAGATCATCACTATCTGTCACTAGCACTCAACGAAGTACAACACGGATGTGTCACCCTGCCGGAAGGAAAAGTTTATTCTTTGGATCTCCATTCATGTCGTTTGTACAGTAGAACCTTCATTAATTTAACCATACATTTATCAACAAACATAACAAAAACCAATCAAAAAATGATCCTTTTAGAATAGAGGTTCTGGAAATTCGAAAGCAATATCTTTTCCTGTCAGATGTTTGTAGATTGCAGAGAATGTATCCATCTGAAAAACCGAATAATAAGCACAGAAATTTATTCATCCAGCTAATAGTTCCTGACTTTCTGTTTCACATATAACCTATTGCAAATCTGTATACATTATCTCTCCCATGAAGTGGCATATATGAACAATCAATTATGAATCCAATTAAAATTTTTTAACCCAAAATAGCATAAATCGTAGCATAAATTATCGCTGCCTGATAAAAAATGACTTATCGATGAATAACAGTTGTCAAACGGAAAGATTAACATTTTACCAACAAGGAATACAGGACACGTTCAATCACGTGTCGTGATGTACTGTGATCGGTGTAAACTTTGGCAGTCAAACAAAAAGAAAAACATCCTTAAAATGCCGCATTAAATGTTCATTTTCTAAAATAAGCTATCTATGGTCCAGCTAAACTAATAAAATGACAAACAGAACCAAAGAGACCAAGATCTAAGCAGTAAGGTCAGTTTTCTCAATACGAATACAACTACTCTGTCACCTGTCTCGCATGTATTTTTCTGAAGAAAGTGCATCCACATACTGAACTTGATTGTGCTCACCTTATGTTCGACATTTGTCTGCTGAGTCTTATCAAGGTGTACCTTCATAATACGCTTTCCATCTAATTTCACTCTGATCCTCCGTCCAACTACTTCAGCCGGATATACCAAATCAGCAAGCATAGCATCATGTACCGCAGTCAGCGTACGTGAACGCGGACGCTTCTGCTTTTGTGGTTTCCTATTCTTACCGCGTTTAGGCTTTGGTAATATACGTCGCTGAAATTCATGCCATTAAGAACACTTGTATTGACATTAACAGCAACGGGTCTCGTTCATATCGTAATACAAGGAATCACCCACCCATGGACATATATTCTCATCAATTTGTGTGTTAACTTTCCATGGGTAAGAATTATATGATAATCTGACAAATGAAGGAACTACTCTTACCCTAGCGATGAATACGACATGCTTGCCGCTAAATTTCTTTTCCAATTCACGCACAAGGCGAGGTTGAATTTTCTGAAATTGTCGTAACTGTGGTACAGGTACATAGACGATGATGCTCTTTTTGTTACTTGCATTTGGTACATCGACCTCCTGGAAAATCAACAAAAAGTCTCTCGGTTATAACTAAATATAACAACCAAAGAATTAAAAAATAAAAATCCGATATAAAATCCGATAAAACTGATTCGGTAATAAAATTCCAAATCTTCAGAATTTTATAGTTACCACTATTACCACAATTGTCATACCTTTGCGCCGACGATGTAAAGTTCACGTAATTGAGCTCGAATATCAGAATTATTTTCTAAATCTGCGATCGCATTTGATACTTGCTTCTCTAACTCATCCGGCACTTTCCCTTCCGGTACAACAATTTTCGATGAACCTTCCGGCATCCTCAACCAATTTCCTTCACCAAATAAATGATAAATTCCCAAAAATCCTTTCCTTAATGATGATAATCATATATTCATTACAGAATAAAATATAATGGCCATTGTATTTCTTTGGACAGTACAATAAACAATAAGTATCGCGCACAAAGTAAAAGCAATAATTAAGAAAAATTAATTACAATTTATTATGAATAACCTATATATTATTACTACACTTTATCATTGAATTATGAAGATATCTGAATAACCAAGTAATGAAAAGACGAGCATAAGAACTTGACCTTATACATCGAATCTATGTCAAACGTAAACCACGCAAAGATTACGTTCAGTACAAGTAAACGTGAAGTTATCAAAACCAAACTACACAAAAAACCACACCACACATACCACCGAAGACGGAAACAACACCCGAGAGATAACAAAAGCCTAAATAGACGTGTGAATGGCGCGGCCCCTAGCTAGTGAGTCAGTATGAAATTCTTCCGTGTCAGCAGTTCTAAACCTAAAATTTTACTAAAATTAATTACAAAAATATCTCGATTGAGAGCTGAGAAGTCTCATTAGGTAGTACGATCAATTTCAGTATTCTCATCGCTTTTTTTAGTATTCCTATCGGAGAAATTTAACTAAATGACGAATTTGAAAACTTGGGATTATGAAATTTTAAATGTATGAATTGAGACAGGAATTGCGCGAGAAGAAATGTATTCGGTGCAATATGACAATGAATATGACGATTTCTATAGATCACACAATCTCAAACTTCTTTACGCTGTATCTATAACATAAAGGTCATAGGTCAAGACCCTTTCAGCATACTAAATCTTTGCGAAACCTTTGATTGTTATCAACACACTAACCTGATTATTATCATCAACATGTATCAAATGCTTTTCACGGAAATTTTCCAAAATTATTTTATTAATAATATAACTGTGAATGGATTTAGTTAAGAACTTATAATTCAATTGATCCCATGGATAAAATCTTATACATTTCAAAATTTTACATGTATGAAAGCTATCTATGATGAATAAATAATATCAACTGCCACAATGCAAAGAATATTCAAACATTAGATAATCATCGTAATGTATGGGAATAATTGCATGCTACGGAAGATATAGTGGATAAGTTAGGTAAAAAAAAAAGCACGTGAGATTTCACGTAAAATGACTAAGGGGTATAATGAAATTAAGCGTTAAAATGTGTATAACCAAGTGTTAAATGAGAAATTGTGATTCATTTACAATGATTGATACTATACGTTGAAATATGTTTGATCAAGCATTATGATTTACCTATACGTGATTATGATTAATTAGCATACGTTAGCATACGTTATGTTATTTAAATATCACAAAACGAAATATCCAGAAAAAACAAACAGATATATTTATTCTTATGAATGAGATAGATGGAAGAAGCATTACTGAAGAGAAATACTGACTGCACTATCGGAATTATTGATTTAAAAAAAAAAAGAAAAATTACTGCTGATAATTTTTTTTTTAGCTCCTTCCTCTCTCTCTCTCTCTCTCTCTTC